CATGGATACTCATCTGATCCCATGTATATATCTAGGCATATTCTCTTTCTCTCTTCCCCCCTCCCTCCCTCCCTCTCTCCCTTCCTGCAAACCCAGTCCTGTTGCATCATTGCCCTGTCTATTCTGGGGTTACCTCCACCATGCCCCACCATGTCTTCTTTCTTTTCCTCTGAGCAAGTCTACTGGGGATCACCCTTGTCTCAGAGGGCTTGAAAGCCAATCTAGTCGGCCAACAGCAGGTTCTTGGAAACTCATAGGAGGAACATGTAACAGTATTGAAGAAAGGTGTTGATGGAGTACAGATGTTATTGTGAGAGAGAGACTAAGAGAACCACCAAGCGGATTGGCCTGAGCTGAACTGGAGGAGGCGCTGGTGAGGGAGAAAGGAGAGACTAAATAAGCCATAGGGGATTTCCACTTTTCTGACAATTTTTCCCAGGGCCCAGTGCCCTCTGGAGGGCAAACGAGGCTCCCTGAGCTCATCTTTCCCGGATACCTTCCGCCTCCTGCATTCTTACCCAGTAGGAACTGTGGTGTCCATGGTAAACCTCCAGCTAGAGTGTCCAAAAGAAAGTGTCTATAACAGCCTTCCAGGCCTCTTGGGAAAGAGTAATATATATGTAACTTATATTCTTTATTCTCCTTATGCCCATTTTATGAGCCTGGACTGTACTCTTATAATCTAGACGTTTTCCAAGAAATCTTCCCCCTTTTTGCCATTCTGGACTAAAAATGTAGAAAGGGAAGAATTGCCATATGTCATTGTGCAGACAGAACCAGAAATAATGTTGACTTCAGAGCTGAACTTGGCCCTATCAGAAGGGTTGCCTTTGTTTTCTCATTATTTAGGGGGTGGGGAAGCATCACATGCTTTGAAATGCATTTTAATGAATGTTTTTGAGGTCATGGGGATCACATTGGTGGCTTTGTCTGCCTGATTATGAAATGGAACTCTGCAGGCATTTGGGGATGGCGATAAAGTCAGTCCTTTCTAAAATACTCCAGGGCACTGTCCCTCACTTCCTCTCCCCATACCACACCCCCACCCCCACCAAAGGCCAGACCTGTGAAGGCTCAGGCTAGGAGTTGGGCCCCCTGAGGTCTAGTGTTGTCATTATCCCCTAGCTGTATGACCACCAGCAAATCACATCCCATTCTGTTTTCTGTAAAAAGAGAAGGTTGCTATGTGCTCTCTAGAAATCCTGCCAGTATCTACTGATTCACTTATGATAAAAAAAGAAAAAAATCTCACAGTGAGTGGGCAGGGTCATGTGCAATACACGGCCTGAAGGAAGTAGGGGCTGGCTAGTAGTTGGGACCAATAGCTTGCTGTCACAGAGTCCACAGAGAGTGGGAAATGGCACACACGTGAAGCTGGAAGGTTTGTTTAGAAGGGTCTGGAAGCTTGGTAGGTGACCTGCCGCCCCGAACATGACATTGAGAGAGGAAACCATTATGGAGTAGCAAGCTATCTGCTGCACTTGATCTAAAATGGTGGCTGTGGGATTCAGTCAACAACACTCAGCCCAGGCCAGCAGACCTCAGAAGCAGCACCCACTGGCCCAGGTGACCTGGTGAAGGCACCAGTGTGGCACTGGGCATGGGGAAAAACCCAGCCAGCTTCTCCCAGTTGAGATGAGTAACAAACCATGGGACTGGGCAAGAGGAAGCACTGAAGCCAGCCTGCATCTAGGGGCAAAATTAAGTGGCTAATAGATCTCCAAGCCTCACCGATGCCTGGTGAAACCAGATGCTGTTAGAGCGAGGCTGAGCACTTCTGTGTAAACACAGCTACTTCCCTCAGCCTTGGTTAGGCTTGGCTGGGGTTCTGGCCATTCAGCCAGGGTGCTTTATTGAAAGCTCTCACCATAAAATCCGAAAGGCGGGGCTGCGGCCTTCCAAGAAAGTGGAGTCTCCTTTAAGTCCCTTGAAAAAGGAGAGCTCAAAAGAGCTGCCACCTGCCCCTCTGCTGAAACTGCAGCCTTAGCCAGCGCCACCCCCCCACATGCTGCACCCCCAGGGACAGCAAGGAAAGCCTGCCCCTCTGATTAGGCATCTTCCCAAAGTGTTTAGTGAGGTGAGCACCAGCCGTGTCCAGCTACAGACTTGGCCCAGCAAGGGTGGCACCCGCTCCAGCAAATTGGATCCACTAGCAGTGGGACGGCCCTCAACATCCCGCAAGGGCATCCTGGTATCTGCTTTGTTACCGAGGAGCCGGGTGGGTTCCAGAATTGGAATTGAGTGGGGAACATTGGCGTGGATGCACTTGATGGGCGCCTGAAAAATTGTATGCACACACACTCTCACTTCAGGGAGCTAGAAACTTCTCTCCTTTGCCAGTGGTCACGCTCTGCCTTCCCCACCTCCTGCCACCTTAGACCCAACAGGTTAATGGCAGACCAACAATTAAATGAAAGCAGGAAACCACAGAATCTGCCAGGACTTCCAGGCCGCTGCAAATCTCAGCCCCTGCCCTCCCTTCCTTCCCATCCCCCGACCCCATCCTTCCCCTGCCTGGTTCTATATAAACTTCACGTCATTAAACATGTCTTGCAGTTCAAGACATCATGAAAAATACATTGGGCCCAACCATTGCCAGCTCAGAATCTCTACAGGAGATCCTATGTAAAACCCACACTCGGTCATTCCTATCGATCCATTTCATACATTTCTATTTTCAATACGTTGAATTTCTTTGGACTCTGGGACATGGTAGAAGAGACCAAATTTCAGTTTGGGACCCAGTGAATTGTTTCAGAGCTGCCCCATAATTCAGTGAATGGCCAGGAAAATATGTGGCAGAGCTCCCTGTGTGCTGGGTCATTTGTGTTCATTTGTCCATTGATTCATTTAGCTGCTATTTATTGAGCACTTGCTGTGGGCCAAATACAGAGTAAGCACTCCCTGGGTGGGAGAGTGGGTACGGATGACTGGATAGGCCTCTTCTTGTGCCTGCTCAACCCTTCCCCAACCCACTGCTGCCTGCCCTGTGGTATTCAGCCCTCAGATGAATTTCACAGCAGAGCTGCCCATTGAAGTGCCTTTGTTCAGGTCATAGATGTCTCAAAAGAAAAGGCAAAAAAGTAGGGAAGTCCCCTCACTCAGAGTAGTGGAGCCCCTTCTGCTGGGACGAGACAATGTCTTGCCACCGGGGTGGATTAAGGCAGTGGGTCGGGAGGCAGCTGAGTGGTGGCGAGGGGAGGGAGCCCTGCATCTGCCTGGGTCTCAGAGTCCCTGTGTTTAGTAGGACTGAATTGGACTCCCGGTACCCTTCCAGATCTGCCCTTTGTAATGCCAGCTACCAGTTAGTGAGCATCTACTAGGTGCCACAGAATCTGCCCCATTTCACATAAGAATCAGAACAGCATCATGAGATGAGAACTAAAATTAGGCTCACTTGACAAATGAAGAAACTGGGGCTCAGAGAGGTTAAGTGGCAAGGCCAAGACCTACTTGTGTCTGCCTCGGCACCAGGGCCCTGTGCCACACTGCCTCCACCCATGCTCTGGGCCAGTGCTTCTCAACCCAGCTGTCCATTTAGAATCAGCCCGGTAGCTTTGAACAAAACTCGCTGCCTGGGCCCCACCTCAGATGAGACTGGAGCAACTCATTTGTGGTGGGAGAGCCTGGGAATCTGCGTGTTTCTAAGTGATTCTGATGTGCAGCAGGGCCTAAGATGTGCGACCCTGGGGGATCTCTTTTGATGTTCACTCTGCCACGTGAGTCATGAGCACCGTTGTGCTAGCAGGTGGCCCCCACACATGTGTTGAAGCCCCGGTGGGCCAAACATGAGAGGACGTCCAAGGATCAGTACTGGATGTCTCAGTAAGACTTCCAAAGCTAAAAAGGGGGTTCTTATAGGAGGAAGTGTTTCCAGAGACAGTATGTTAGACTGTCGACATGTAGGTGATTTCCAAGCCCCTCTCTTCCCACACACATTCCTCCATTCCACTCCTGTTCTCCTTTACTTGTGGGTCATGGTCGTGAACACAACAGCCACGGATGACTGTATGAAGCCTTGAAAGAGTAGGAAGTACTGTGTTACTACTTCTTTGCTTTGTTCCCAAATGCTATGCTTTTAAAAATGGTGGGCAGCTCCCGCAAAGTGCAGATCACAGATTGGGCCTCTTCCTGTTGTTTCATGTCTCCCCAACCTGAGGATGCCTCTGCAGAGAGGCTATTTCTTATTTCATGAGATGACAAGTCGTTCTCATGAAAAACAAACAAGCAATACAAAAATGTAGAGAACAGAAAGGGACTTGCCAGTCAGCCCCAAGAAACGACTACTCTAAACAGTTGCATGTATGTTCTTCAAAGTGACTTTTGTATGTTCATAGCAGTGCGTGTGTGTGTGTGTGTGTGAGCGCGCATGCCCGCACACGTGTAAAAATAAATGGAGCCATGCTACACTGCCTGTCCTGCAGCTCGTGTTAGCCTCTAAGCAGTATGTCTGAGGCAGCTGCCCAGAAGAATACAGCGAGGTCTCCTTTGTGCCTCTAAAGGCTCTGTTGTAGTCCACTTGATCACCACAGCCTGAGGCCTTTAACCGAGACAGCCAACCTGAAAGCCCAATGTCTACCTTACGCATTTCCTTTTTAAAAATTGGGATATCTGCAGATAGATAGGAATTGAAAATATCTTAGCTACTTCTAGTTTGTTCTCAAATGCCTGGCCCTGGCAGCACAGTTCATTTAGAGGCTTCTGTGTAGTTTCATTGAGCTCTCCTTTAAGAGGGCAAAGAATGTCCTTTGTGTGACTTTCTGTCACGTTTAGTATACAGACAGTATAATGCCTTATTTGAAGTGTAACAAGACAGTTTAAATGAAACACTGTAACAAAGAAACAAGCATTATGGTTCCAAAAATAGGCTGTATTGTACAGTTTTGACAACTGTGAGTCTTGAAATTGAGAGATCTGTTTTATCTTGCAAGTTTCCTGTTCATTAGCTTTAATGTGCCAAGCCTTTATAAAAACTCCTCTCTCTCGCTTCCCTCTTTCAGCCACAGGGAACCATTAAGAGGAGACAGGAAGGAGACAACTTCCAGTTTCCGGGCATGGCTGACGGGGGTTACCCTAATAAAATCAAGAGGCCTTGCCTTGAGGATGTTACCCTTTCTATGGGCCTGGGTGCCCACCCCAGCACACCCTGTGCAGAGCTGCAGATTCCCCCGTTAACAATGAATCCTAGCCCTGCAGCTATGGGAGTAGCTGGCCATTCGTTACTACTCGAAAATAACCCCATGAACGGCAGTGTGATGGGTTCGCCATTTGTGGTGCCACCGACTGCAGAATTGGGACTGAAAGGGCCCACTGTTCCTTACTATGACAAAACCAACAGCATGCCTGCTGTGGACCAGGAACTTCAAGATCTGCTGGAGGAGCTAACAAAACTTCAAGAACCTTCTCCGAATGAGCTCGATCTTGAGAAGATACTGGGGAGCAAGCCAGAAGAACCACTGGTCTTGGATCACTCTCAGGCAAGCTTCAGCACAGCTCCCAAGCCTTCGGTTCAGATGCCGCACTTGGAGAGCCTTGGTTCCAGCAAGGAGTTTGCTTCTAGTTGCAGCCAGGTCACTGGCGTGTCACTTCAAATCCCGCCCTCCTCTGCAGGGATCAGCTATGCGATTCCCTCCACCAGTAAGCAGCTGGTCTCACCTAGTTCCTCCACAGCGCAGGCCAAGAACCAGGTGCAGGCGATGCTCCCTGTCGCTTTGCCCCCACTCCCGGTGCCTCAGTGGCATCATGCCCACCAGCTGAAGGTGTTGGCAGCCAGCAAGCAGGGATCTGCTACAAAGCAGCCAGGGCCCACTCCCAGTTGGTCTGGCTTGCCTCCTACAGGCCTCTCCCCACCTTACTGCCCAGTGCCATCGCCACATCCACCACCACCATTCAGCCCTCAGAGCCTCATGGTGTCCTGCATGTCATCCAGCAACCTGCCGGGGAGCACTCTCCAAGGTTCTCCCAATGCCTTACTCTCGAGCATGGCATCCAGCAGCAATGCTGCCCTTGGGCCCACCATGCCCTATGCTCCTGAGAAGCTCCCCAGCCCAGCTCTCAATCAACAGCCGCAGTTCAGCCCGCAGAACTCCATTCTTGCCAACCTGGTGTCCTCTACCATTAAAAACCCTCAAGGACACCTGATGCCCGCTCTGCCTACCAGCAACCCGGGGCCCTCCCCACCCTACCGCCCAGAGAAGCTCTCCAGCCCAGGCTTGCCGCAGCAGTCCTTCACTCCACAGTGCTCCTTGATCCGGAGCCTCACTCCCACCAGTAACCCGCTTAGCCAGCAGCCACAGCAGCAGCAGCAGCAAGCAAATGCCATCTTCAAGCCTGTGACCACCAACTCACCCAAAACCCTGAGCATGATCATGCAGCAGGGGCTAGCCAGCCCCAGCCCAGGAGCCCCAGAGCCGTTTACCTTTGGCAACACCAAGCCTTTGTCACATTTCGTTTCTGAGCCGGGCCCACAGAAGATGCCCTCCATGCCTGCCGCCTCTAGGCAGCCTTCCCTGCTCCACTACCTGCAACAGCCGACGCCAGCACAGGCCTCTTCTGCCACTGCGTCCTCCACTGCCACTGCCACCTTGCAGCTGCAGCAGCAGCAGCCTGACCACTCTTCGTTCCTTCTGCAGCAGATGATGCAGCAGCCCCAGCGCTTTCCGCGATCAGTAGCCTCGGATTCCATGCCTTCTCTGCCCAGACAGGTAAGAGAATCTCCTATCTGGTTGTGTCTTTTGTTTTGGAAATAAGAACTGTGTCTCGTGCTATTGATAATTGGCTTTGGAGGCAAATCCAGGCCACAGCCCTCTGTGAGACTGGGCTTGACTCTGGAAAAGTCTATTTAAGTCAGCTAATTCTGTGTGGTCAAAACACAGTACTAATGAGGCCAAGGTTATGGTTTAAGTGTCTGTGTAGGTCACTTAACTTCCCTGGGAGGAAAATCGCACCCACCAGGTGCTGCAGGGGAGACAAGTCAGAGTCACACAGAGCTGCTTTCCCCCGCCCTGGGCTATATTCCCTCATACAGGGCTAGTGAAGGCTTCATAGGAGGCAAGGAATTGCACTGAAGTGTTTCAGTCTTGTCTCTGCTGGCATAAGGCTGCACACTGAGCCTTCTAGAAATGCCACAGCAAACTTCTGCTGAGCAGTTCCAGCGTACCATTCACCACCGTGCCGGATGCTGAGGCAAGTCCTAAATGAAAAGGACAGATACTTGTAAGGTAATTAAGGCTTACCATCTCCATTTTATAAATGAAGAACCTGAGGCTCAGAGAGTTGAAATGACTTGCCCAGAGTCACACAGTTAGCAAGGGGCAGAGCAGGAACTTGAAGCCAGGGAGTCTTGCTTGAGAGCCTGCACTCTTCTCCGAGTTACTGTGACTTCTCCCTCTCCATCATCTCCTGCAGTCTTATCAATCACTGAATTCCGCTGACTCTCCAAGTGGTGTCTCTCACAGTCCCCACTCTTCGTTGTCCTGATCCCTGCCTATGTTAGTTATGTACTGCCACGTAACGAATTAGCCCCAAACACACACCTATATTACCTCACGGTTTCTGTGGGTCAGGAATCCTGGCACAGCTTAGGTGGGTCTTTTGGCCCTGCATCTGTCATAAGGCTGCAGTCATCTCAAGCCTCAACTGGGAAGGAGCTGCGTCCAAGCTCCCTCCCCTGCTTGTTGGCAGAAAGCAGTTCCTTGCAGGTTATTGGACTGAAGCCTCAGTTCCTCATGAGCTGTTGGCCAGAGGCCTCCCTTGGTTCCTTGCCATGTGGGCCTCTTCATAGAGCATCTCACAACATGGCAGCCAGCTTCATCCAAGTGAGCAAGAGAGAACATGCCAGCAAGGGAGGCAGGGGGAGTGCCAGCAAGTCAGAAGTCTTTACAACCTAGGCTTGAAAGTGACATCCCATCATTTTTGCTATATTCTATTCATTAGACACAAGCATGACGGTGTGAATACCAGGAGGCAGGGATCCCTGGGGGCCATGCCAGAGGTATGCCTACCCAGAATACTGTCTGTCATAGTCCCTCCTTTCCATTGCTCTCACCCCGCCCCAAGTTCATGCCCTCTTGATTCTTTGTCCAAACTCATACTGTTGACTCTTAAAATGGTTTCCCCCCCAACAAACCATCCGTTACTCTAAGCATTACCTTGCTGTAGCAGAGACCTGATCATGTTTCACTCTTGCTCAGAAGTTGCTGGAGGCCCATAACCTGGCTCCATCTGCCTCCTTAGACTCAGGGTCCATCGGGCCCTGCCTGGCAATTCATTTCTAGAACCCTGAAGTGCTTGCAGTTCCTGGCCCTCTCTGTGTTCTCAGCTTTTACTCCCGCCATTCCCTGTGCCTGCACTTCCCTTCCCACCTTTCCTGTTCTGTCCCACTCTTAGGGCTCCTAAGGCTCAGGCACCATCCCCTCCAGGAAGCCTTTCCCTGGCTGTCCTTGGTGCTTCCATCTCCCACTCTGCCTTCCTCTTCTGTAGAGCAGCCAAGGAGATGGCCGGAAAGTGCTTTTCTGAGGGTCCTGGATGAGCGTAACCATGGCAGCCCCTGGAGGATGGAGAATATGTCTTTTTCATCTAGGTCTTATGAGGCATAACCAAGCAGAGTGCTCCACACCAGGGAGTTGGTCCTTTGATGGAAGCACACAGCCAGCAGTGCTCACACGGGGGTGGCCAGGGAGAGCAGCAGTGCTGATGCTGGCGCTCCACCCTAGCAGGCAAGATCCTCAGCCTGGAACTGTGTCACCGTCTAACATTGTGAGCCCTTTTGGTTGTTTTTTTCTTCAGTGGGGTACATTTGTAGCATGACTGTGTTGCCTGAGAGCCAGATCAGCTGGCTCAGAAGGAGAATTCTTAACGATTGGGGTGGTGAAAATCATACCCAACCGATTACCTACGTATGCTTGGAGAAAGTGTTCAGGAGAAAGACCAAGCGGCCAAGCTCCCTGAGGCTAGGAAGGGCTCAGGCCATCTCCATCAGCAGAGGCAAGAGGCTGGGCTCCCCGGATGGGATGCTATTGCTACCGAGGGCTGCCTTCCCAGCCAGCGCTGGCCAGTGCCCACAGGCCAGGCATGCAACTCAGTACTTCACCTGCCTTTCCCCATTTTAATCCTCAGAGGTAGAGGCTGTTATCATTCCCTTGAAAGCTGTGAATACTGAGGCACAGAGAAGTCGCCAGTGTTGCCCACAGTCACACAGCAAATCAGGGCCAAAGTGGGGAGTCCGGCTACAGAGCCCACACTCATGAGCCCACACTTGTAACCTCACACATGGGCCGCTGCCTCCAGAGCCTTCCATTCCTGCCTTAACCTCCTAACTATTGCCTCTTCTACAAAATGGGGGTGATGATAGGTTGTTTGAGGATTAAATGCATTAGTACATCTAAAGTACTTCAAACAGGGCCTGGCCCGCCATCGAAGGTTTGTTATCTCTGTGACTCTCACTCCTGGCCCTGACTGAGCCTCCACATCTGTTTTCTGGAAGCTGAGGTGTGGCTTTCAGAACTGGCACTGTATCAAGACAGCATATGAGCAGCACTCTCTCCAGCTCCCATACCTGCCATGACATTGACAGGAGCTGTGGGGCCTCCTAGCCTTGTGGGCTCTGCCTGTTCTGGGCCCTGCCCTGCCTCGACAACCACAGTCCTGGTGAAAAAGAGAAAACAGCCATCTTTGCCTGGCTGGCTGGGGTTTCCCCTTTGTTCTTTCTGGAGCTCTGTCACTCTCAATCCACCCCTCTCCCCAGCACCCTGTTGTGTCCGTGGTGTTCTAGCCAAAATGCCCTGAGCAGGCCTCTAAGCTGGGCACATCCACAGCTCTGCTCTTCCTTCTCGTGGCCTTTCCCCATCCCCTTGAAGGCCTAAGAGCTCAGCCCTAGTCACTCTTCCAGGGGAGAGAAAATAAGAAGGGAAATGGCGAGTGTTTGAGGCAAGAGCTGGGTCACCCGTGGAAGGACAGACAGCAGCCCCAATGGTGGGGAAGTACCTGCTTGCTTCTTGCTTCCAACAGGGTGAACCTGGCATGTTTTACTGATGGCCAAGCTGAGCCTCAGAAAACACTCATTACCTCCTATGTGGCATTGATGAGCTCGTTGCCCGTCCATGGATGATAGTGGTTACCATAGAAGGACTCGGCATTCATTTTAATCCAGATCTTAGTGTTTTTAAGGAGTAGTTTCAAAATGTAAGATGAGAAACCAACTCTTGAATAAGCAGAAATGCCAAACCCAGCTGTCTATAGGAGCTCATTCTTATTTGCAGACTAATATTTCTCAGCTTGGGGAATTCCACTCTACTAGTTAAGTGAATGATCCAATTTCGGTGGACCATTTGCTTTCACTGAAGGTAAAAGACAAATGCCATCTGGCATCAGGGCAGCACTTCAGCGCAGCCGTCTAAGCAAGTGCACTGGAGACAGACAGAACTGGGGTTCAAGTCCGGGCACCAACACTGACTGGGCCATGTGCTGGGAGCAATGTCACTTAACCCCTCTAAGCCTCAGCTGCACCTGGGGAAAGGAATTGTCCCCATCTCTTAGGGCATTGGAAGACAAAGGAGACACTAAATTGAAATTGCTTAGCACCCTGCCTGGAACACAGTGTGCTCAGTCAGGGCTGGTACAGGCTCCCCGTCTTGGATCTGAAACCCCTGGGGTCAGATGTGTTTCCAAATTCGGAACATTTGGGCCTTCAGAAGGGTAATATGCTGCATACACCAAATATCACACAACCGTCCGGTGGGGTCTGGGCCAGCATTTTAGTATTTTTGCTGATAAATATGAATATTTAACTAAGTCCAGGTCAAGTTTTGCTCCCCAATAAATTTTGGCACCAAATTTACAAATATAAAACAGACTTTCAGAGCTTTATGACTTGAAATTACAGATAAAGGATGTGGACCTGGAATTATTAAGGGAGGGACTCTTTTTGGAGTCAAGACCCTCAGCCCTGGTGTGCTGGATTTTAATGACCCCAAATCTCCTCACTGTATTCCCAAACTTACTCCCAAGGCTGGGTGACAACTGTCTGTTTTTAATCAATGTGAGGCAAAATGAATTTTGTTTCCATAATTTAAAGCCCCTTCTCCCCGAAGACTGTTGGAGATAGCTTAGGGTTTGGCAGAAATCAGGGTTAGGACTTCAATTTTACCATCGGCCACTGGCAAATGGAGCTTACATTTACTCAAAGATGACAACAGGCCCATCAAGGAGCTGGGAGTTGCGCTCTGGAAGAATGGGGATAGCAAGAGGCAGCGCGAGCCCTCAGGAGGTGCCTTTGAAAAGCTGGGAGTGCAGCATCAAGGGGAGGAGGGATTTGGAGGCCAGCCAGTTGGAATAAGAATAAAAACGCCGGAAATATGATCCTCCAGGCGGGCCAGGCACAGGGCAAACGGGGGCAGCTGCGGAGATATAGACCAAAGAGGCACGTGATACTGTTTGGGCAGATCTGGAGAGGGTGGGAGAGGGGACTCAAGCCTGCCTTTTAGAAGGCTGGACTAGGTCCCTCCTGGGTTTGCTCCATTTTCTACCTTTAATGATAAGCCTGGCATCTCCTGAACCTAGGCAGCAGTGAACTCTCAGCAGTTGTGGGGATGGTGGGTGAACCACAGAACTTGCTCTCTTCCCTCCTCGAGGATCTGGACAGCTCAGTCTGAAGTGGGGCCTTAGGGACGCCCTCTTGCTGCCCTCACCCATGGGTCCCTCTTGTTCCTGGCAAACTGTGCCCTCCAAAGTGTAGCATTGCCAGCACCCAGCGCCTGAAGGGAGATGGCACAGGGCAGGGGACACCGGGCCTTGGCAGGGCGTGGGCCCCAAGGCTGGGCTTGAGGCCGGGTTCAACAGAGCCCAGGCTTTGGATCACTTGGGTCCAAATCCCGGCTCTGCCACTTTTTCATTTGGCAAGCTGTTTACCCTCTCCAGGTCTCCATCTGTAGAATGGAGGTACTAGTATACCTACCTACTGGAGTTGCTGGGAGGATTAAATGAGATGAAGTAAAAATGCTTAGCACAGGGCCTGGTACACAATAATCCTCCATCAATGTTGGCTGCCACTGTTTCAAGAAAGTTCCTGAAACTCAGAGCAGCAGTAACTCAGTGGAATGGGTTTAGACTGCCTCAGTGTTCAGGTTCCTCTCCAGCTCCCAGGGGTGGGTGGTGACTTGGAGAGGAGGGGCAGGGGAGTGCTCTCCAGGGAGGGTGTCAGGGGGAACATTTGCCAGGTGGCTGAGGAGAAACCAAGTGGCAGACACAGGTTGGTGACCCCAGAAAGGAGCAGAGCAGCTGAGCCAGGCCACAGCTTCCTGAGTGCCCCTGGCCAGCGGGAAGGGGAGAATGTTGGCTGCTCCTCCCTCCAGGCTCAGACTGCAGAGGTTCTAGGAGCCATATGGGGGCTGCCCCATCCCTGCGTGGATGCTGAGTAACAAATGGACCCCAGGACGACTTGAGGTGGGCAGAGAGCACGGGGTAAGGAGCAGCCCAATTCTGCCCGCAGCCAGCTTGGCCCCAACTCTGCTGCTTGCAGGAGGCTGAGGGCTGCTTGCGGTTTCTAGATCCAGAGGGCCTGCTGCTAAGGGGCTGATAGGCAGAGCGAATGTGAGGGAGAGTGAGGGCCAGCTTTGCTGACCCGCCCACCACCAATGCTGCCAGGAGTGCTGGTTCTGTTTGGTCATCAGTGTTGGGAGATTGGTGTTTCTCGTCTGCATTGTTTTCTTGGAGCCTTGCTCAAACCAGGCCCCAGATGGATGCCACAGCATGCAGAGCACCCACACTGAGCCTCCCCCTCTCTCCTCTCCCTTCTCTCCACTGCTCACTCCTACCCCCAAAGCCTCCAAAAATAACCTGTGCAGAAACTCAAGATTCCTTTTCATTTGAATTTCCCAGGCTGGACTCACCCGCTCAGTAGAGCAGAACCTTTAATTACTGCTGTCTCAATTAGCACTGCAAATTAAAATCTTTACATTCGCATCATGACCTCCCAGAGAAAACAAAAATGATAAAACCAGGTTAGTTAGACCAAGAGAATTATCTGTTCTTGTTAAAGTTACATCAGCTCCGTTTTCCACTGGAGAAAGAGTCAGGAGAGATGGCGGTGAGTGAGCCTTCTCCTAGTCTCCAAATTGTTCATTAACATTTAAAAGCAAGTGACCATTAGCTTGCTGAAATACTTGCCCCCCCTGGAACCAGAAGGAAATCACATACTGTCAAGGAAGGGCCTGTGACCTTGGACTTCCAAGTCCTTTCACTGGCTTCCCTGAACTCTTCTCTTGTTTTGCAGGTAAGGGTTGGGGGAGAGCAACTCTGCTCCCTGTGTTATGAGAAAAGTTTCTTTGCATTTGTCTTTTACTAATTCGGGCGTGAAGCATCCCAGATTTCATTTCGAAAGTTAGTCCTGCTGAAATGCGAGAGCACAGGCCTCTGGGGAAAGCTCTGGGCTGCACTAAGGAAGGGGGGGCAACAAGTCAGGTTTCAAAGAGCCCATGGGTCAGAGCCTGGGCTTTGCCCTGCTCGCATCTTCTCTACCAGACATGACAATATTTTCCTGAATAAGTATCTTTATTTTGTATCTAAGCATGATTGTACATACAAGCTTAATTTTTCCTTTCCTTCTAAATTGGGCCACAAAGAGCTATGTAGTTTGGGGAAACTTTTTTTAGCTGCTTTGGGAGGAAATATAATTAGACACAGTGTAATATACATTTTGAAAATTTAGGGACCGGTATCTCAGTGTTGAACAAGATTTGTTTTATCCTCTCTGCATTGCC